TAGTATTATGTAAGTTTTATACAAAATTTACCTCGCGTCATTTGTCGGGATGAGAACATGCTTGTGTGGCCACTTTCCCATTAGTAGTTCATCACCCAAATGTTGAAACATCCCGCTATCTCACAACAGCAGTGGGAACAATGTACACAGTGGCTACATCTTCACGTCCAACTGCTTCTCCCGACAAATACTTGGGTTGCAATCAAGGATCTACACCAAACCCTCCTCCAATAGCCAAACGACAGTTACCCAATGCATATCCTTGATGTTCACGATGCAGTATACTCTTTTCACATTTGCCCAACTATTTTCATATTTGGGTCTTTGCCTCCGTACATATTGCATCATCCTCTCATCAAACCAAAAATCAACAAGGACACCGTTAAAGTCCTCTGTGGCTATTCTTTTCCGCTTGCCCCCCCCCCCCCCCCCTTGTTGCACCTCCACCATTTGGCCTTCTTCATTAGCATGTCATGTGTACTTATTAGGCTTTGGCCAAAGCCCACACCGGTGATGACATAATGCGAATACAAAATATCACCATTACTGCTTTGTCGCAATCTCATAAGTGTCAATACCCCATCAATGTGTTGCATCAAATCAAAACAACATGATAAGTGTCTATTTAAACACCATTGAACTGTTTTTCCTTTGGCAAAACAAAACAGATCGCTTAAGCAACCTCTTCAAAAAAAAAAAAAAAAAAAAAAAAAAGACAGATCACATAAGCAATTTAGTACACAATACCTCATGGAAAGCTTAAGGAAAAATACGGGAAAATAACTCACTAAGTCGTCGAGCCACCTGCCCATTGTCAACATCTTTTCAAACCACTCCCGGGGATAATCCCCGGTCTTACACTTCACACAACCATCACTTCCTTTCTCATTGTAATAGGCATAGAATAGTTTTTTCTTTTCCTCATCTATTGGCTTATACAAATCGACATTTAACTCCTCAGTTTTCACTTCCCCACTTCCTCCGCCTTCCTCCATTTTCACTTCCCCACTCCCTCCACCTTCCTCCCTACCCTCCTCCATTTTTGCTTCTCCACTTTCACGGACTTCCTCATTTTTTTTTCTTTGTTCACCTCTTCTTTCCATATGTTACTACCGTGTAAGGAGATTTTATGTGCTTACTCTTTCAACTCTCTCTTCTATGTTAAGGTTGCACTTCAACCACTTTTAATACCCCCACTAACTTCCTCCTCCACCCTATCAACTTTCTCTTCCACCCTTTTCATCCAGTCTTCCATCTTCTCAAACCTCTCATAAACAGCGATTGTAAAACTGTCAAAGAAACCATTTATGAGGTCAACCACCTCATTCTCCCGATGCCTCAGCAAATCGGTACTTATTATACCAGTTTGCCAATTGGGTGGAGGCGTACGAACCTCTACACCTTTCTCCTCCTGCTCCCTCTCGACGACTAGAGCTTCATCCTCCTTGGCCTCAAACACATGCTCAAGTAATGGCCTTGTAGTTGCACTCAAATGTGTGACCCCTTCTAAGTCCTGCATTAGGCGAGCTATCCCTTCATCTGTTATATCATCCAGTATTACGAATGATGTAACATACTTCGCTCCCAATTCACCTCTAGTAGGGGTGAGGAAGGGACAAACGACTCCCTACAATAAGAAAAAAATCAATCAAATTTAAGCCACATTTAAAAGCAAGTGCATATTCAAAAGATTAATCATTTAATCTTACCTGAGCTACTTGAATTTCCATTTCTATTTTGTCATAGTCCCAATGAGCACACTTCTTGGTGTGCCACCGCAATATCCTAGGAAATTGTGGTGGCTCATCCGAAGTCTTCTTCCGCTCCCCACCTTAGCCAGGATAGTGACGGCCTCATACATCCAAGCCTGCATTATAAAAAAACAGTCTATATTATAATTAAAACACATATAATGCAAAAAATATAACAAAAAGCTATTAACATTTACCTGCATTGCCCATGGGAAGCCAAAAAAATTGTAAATGCTTTGTCTGTCTTTCTCAACATATTGGCAGTACTTTATAACCATGTCTTTTTCGCACAGGGACTCAATGGTTAACTGAAATGATAATTTTCCCCACGGATAAGCATTAAAGAACTCTTAGTTGCTTGCAAACCGCACCCAATCCATATTAACGACTTTTGTTGAGTCACAAGCCATTAGGATGGAATGCAAGAACCATACTAGGCACATCTTAAACTTCTCCGAAGAGGTATACCTATCTTCTCCTAACCTCTCCTCTAAACCGCGTGCTGTAATAGACGCCTACCCCGCCAAAACCTTTCTAACCAAGTTTTCGACTGTCTTACTCCTTCTTTATTCTCTCTTGCTCTTTCGCTTTTGGAAATGCCCCACATCTTAGTCCTATCATCAAGGCAAATTCCATCATCCCAAAACATATTGGCTTCCCATCCACTACGAACCATATTTCATTTCTTTTTTGGCTTTTTTACTGAGTGCAGTAACATATAATGTATTGCCTGCCCCCAGAACGCCTTATTCCAATTGTCTCCCATGTCCACAAAATGACCGAAACAACTATCTTTGAATCGGTTCATACCCCCTTATGTTCACCTAAAATATCCTTTATCTCGCAAACACTTTCCAACTCGACCTAACCATTACCTTTACGAGGAAGTATGATATCCTATCAATTACAACCTCCAACCCATAATCTTTATAATTTATGCTTCGGAAACACTACACAATCATTATAAACTAAACATCAGCAAAAAAATCAATAGGCTACCAATATGGGGGATATGGGCTTTGAGGGCATCAGGGAGTGGGTGTTTTTAGTTTCGAGAGGATCGGGGAAGCCAATGCAGGCCCTACAGAGGCTACTGTGGCAGGTTTGATGATTGGAAAAGGCTGGGGATGGCAGGAGGGGGTGGAATAGGGGGGGGGGGGGGTGCTGAGGGTTGCCTTGCATATTGCAAGGCTGGCCACTAGTGCACGCGCAACTGTGCGTGGACAACCTTACAATATGTAGGGCAGCCCCCACCCCCTTATTCCGCCATCCCTAGCCCTCCAACCTCCCACAAACAACCTCCCTACGACCTCCCTTGCCTTCCCCCATCATTTGGAACCCAAACAAAGTCACTCCCCCAATGCCCACCAACTGCTCGACAAAACGCCACAACCACCCTAACAATCAAAACCAACTAAATATCCCCCAAATTCACACAAACAAATAATTTTTTCATCAAATGGTAAAAAATGTACCTTTTCTTCATCGAAGTCCTCCTCCTTGCCTAAATTCTCGTTGGCATCCTCCTTTTGAGAACCATTTTTGGATTTTCCTGTCTGTTCTTATGCTGCCATCGAGTCCTTCGCCGCTGGACCACTTCACTCATTGAAAGATCTACCGGAGCGTCTTCTTCGACAACCTTTGAACAACTACCGTTGCAGACTCTAGGATTTAGAGTGGGGTTGAGTTTTTCTTCTCTTTTTTAATATCAACGATGGATTTTTGTGTAACTAACAACGATACGAAGATTTAAGATCAAATATTTGTCGGAAATCGAGAACTTTAATCGCCTAAAATCGCAGAGAGATGGGGTGTTTTTGTCAGTCTTTTTTGGGTGGCCTCCTTCGATTAAGCGATTTTGAATATAGAGGGGTCGTTTTTTAATTTTTAAAATTTAAACAAATTTCTATTAATTAACTATTAGCCACATATGTTTCAATCATTTCACTCTAACCCCTTTTTGCATGTTTACTTATACTTAAGTATGTCACGTCAGAATTTTAAAGTAAAAAAAAAAAAAAATGCAAAATTTTTTCGACTTCCTTTATTTAAATGCAGACTTAGGATGTTTGACGAGTTAAATTTCCTCGATATAGATGGAGTGGACCCTATTTATTTATTATCCAATGAACTTGAAGTTAGAATCCTTCAAGTCTTTCATTTAACCACTCTAAGGTGTGTTTGGTTTCCTATTTCAGATACTATTCTCTATTCTATTGCAAAAGAGTAATGCTACATTTACATCATTTTTTTACACAACTTTCATTATATCATGATATGGTATATATCACAACCACACAAATTTTTAATTATTTTAAAATTTTAATATTATAATAAAATTTGTGTGATTATAACATATATCACATCATGATATTTATAAAGTAGTGTAAAAAAATAGTATAAGTGTAACATTACCTAAAAATATACCTTTGGTGCAATATTCAAGTAACACTATTTTGAAAACCAATTCTCTCTTTTTTTTTTTTAACTTTTACCTCTCTCCTCTTTAATTACTTGTCTCTCTCATCTTTTACTATCTCTCTAACAGACCTTCTTCTTCTTCTTCTTCTTTCTTCACGCAGCAGATTTTTCATTCCTCTTCTTCTTTTTACATATTCTTCTTCTTATCACTCTTCCAACAAGAGCAGAAGATGAAGGAAATGGAGAGGGATCAAGTTATACCATAGCAACATTTTATAGATAACATGGCACCTTTGTAGAATAACACAATGACTAAATCATATCGTAGTTGTTAATAGAATATTGACGATGTATAAACGATTCTAAAGATTGATAATTAGTAGTTTTGTCTTATATTTATTAATGTAGTGTTTTTAAACAGTAAAGTTAATACTTGAAATTAATATGAGAAATTTGTTTTTAATTTAGTGGTTACAAAATTATCTAATCAAATTTAAATATTATTAAAATATAAATCGATAAGTTTTTAGGTTATAATAATAAATTATTTTAACAAAGCACACCAAAATATCGTATCCATAACTCCTTTATAGAAAAAATATATCAAACAAATATTCGACAATTTATTTAACTCAAATAAGAAAGTTAAAATACTCTATCAAACACATTTGATTGAAATCCTATTCTCGTAATAATAATCCAATTCAACTCAATATTGTTATTTCAAAAATCCTACCCAATAAACCAGACACAATTTTTTATCCGACTTTGCGACCGAATTTATGTCTTTAATGCATAATGAACTACATCGACACCATTTTTTTTTTTTTTTTTTTTTTTCTTCTCAGAAGGCTAACACAATAAAATGATTCATTCTCGCAATCAATCTTTCCTTTAGTTGGATTGGATTGGATTGTATGCGTAGAACAAAAAATTAGTTGAATTAGAAATTTTTGAGCACGGCACATGAAGACACTTTTTAGCTAATTAAATTTAAAGCTCAAAACTGGAACTCAGAGTCATCCCATTGAAGGACTGCAGAATCAATATTCTGCTCTCGTTTCAGTTTATCCTTCATAAACCAGTCACATACTCTCCCCGCATTCAGCTCCTCAATTGGACATCCTTCTTGCTCCGATATCACCCTTAGCAGATTCAAAGATGATATCTGCACAACACTAAAACCATTAAGAGATAAAAAATTATCACTTCTAAATATACAAGGTTTTAGAGTGAAAGAGATACCGTTAAACGACATAAAAATCTCTCGTGAGTGCTTAGACCAGACATTTCAACTAAACCAGCTTCTTCTAGAGTCAAGAAAGTTCGCCTTTCTCTCTTCTTATCTCCTTCTCCTTCCCCAACGCATCCTCTCACAGTAAATTTTCTCCTGTAATAATCATTGTTTACGCAAAAATTTGTTCGAGTTTTTATTACTTTCTGATGAAGCTTTGAGGGAGTGGGAAGAAATGGTGATTGATAGTAGTTTTTATAGAGCTTGAGAGAAGTCATAATTTTTTACTTTTCGGTTGCGTTTTTGGTTGTCAAAAAGAGGTTGAGTTGAGGAAGAAAGGCTTATCAGTTACTTCTGTTTGATTGCTTGATTTATGTGGTGGACATCGTTGATAAAATTTTGTTGATGAAAAGTGATAACGTCCCTTGCAAGTCCCACGTGGCCTATATGAAAGCCAACCATTCTTTACCTCATAATTAAATTCAATTTTATCAAATATTCCAATAAACTATTTAATTTACATCAAGTTATATGATCAATTGACTATGAAAAACTATATTTGGTAAACAAAATTAATTTAAACCAAAAATGAAACCGTAAAGATTTGATTCAATCCAGCTAGAAATTAGTGTAATTTCTTAAAAAGTAGAAACACAAATTGATTTGGGCTTACATGAGAATCCGTCGCATAACTTTAAGCTCTTTTATTCTCAAAGATTGGAAAATTAGATACATATATGAATATTATGTACAGAAATATACCATATACAGATTCTCTTCAATACTGTCATATATTAATTAAAACTTCTTGAACTAACATCTAGAAACCTCTCGATTTAATCTTAATCAGCGGCGATCTGCTTGCTATTCGGTGATGATCTCAATTTGGACCCCAGCAGCTCAAGTACATAACAGTACGAAGAGATTCCTCCGCCTGCTTTAACTTGTCGTTCTTGGCAGACTTGAAACCACTTGAATCAGTAGCGCCGGAGAAACGCCTCGCTTGATTTGAAGAAGAAGAACAAGTGGATTCTTTTAAAGACTTGATTGTTGTGTCGCACTTTGATGCCTGCTCTTTCATTCCCTGCATCACCCTCATTCCTCCCTGGTAGAACAATCTGCTCATGAACCTCAAACTCATACACGAAACCCAACTAAGAATTTTAAAGATGTGGAGAAATATGGAGATATTTTTTTTTGATAAGCAAAAGGTTACAAGAACTGTTATGCTATCAAGTCTGGGAGAGATTAAGGTCGAGTTGTGGGGGCTGGTATATATATTGGTGGAGAAGGCCAATGTTTTAGGAAAACAACTGGCTATGACAGGTACATTTTGGCGATAAATAAAACTGGGGGCTTTTGAGTTCTTGGGGATTAATCCTGTGGGTGGTTGCCACGTGTTAATTGCGTCCGATAAAAGATTCGGATAAGCAGATAAGGACAATATGATATATACGTAGGATATTTGTAAGCTTCTGTCGTTTGAATCGTTTGCTTTTATTTTTTTATTAGAGGATAATTCTACAGTATAAGATATTTTTAAGAGATGCTGACTACAAACAGGATTATTTTAAAACCAAAGGGGTCAAGAATCCGGTGCTAATCTCTTTACTTTATTGTTAATTGGTAAAATTTAGTTTGGCAAAGGGATTTAGATGCTATTGAGAAAGATTGTTATATTTTTTATCCAAGTACTGAATAATAGGGGGCTAGCTAGATCAAGTTCAACCATTGCAACTTCGAAGTAGGTACGTTGAAAATATAATACACTATAAATATTATACCAAACTTTAGATTTTAGATAATTATGTTTGTAATTAAGGAATATGGATTAATTTATTCTCCTCGGATAGAACTCGCTTTTAAAATGGGTTTATAAGAGGATGGAGTTTAAGGGTTAATAAACCACCTTACCACCTACTAGACTCATACTTAGTAGATGTAGGATCCTAAAACATACATAAATTAAATGTATTTAGGTTTATTTATAAATTTATTTCCTTCCATGTGCATTGCTTAGATTATATGAATTGAATTACATTGAAGATATTTATTATTATCATCGTGTTAGAAAATATTTATATAAATTCTTATAATATGGTCCAAATATATTAAACATATAAGTATAATATTATTGTTGTGTATGATTTTTCCACCAAGCTCGAGGAGTTTTGAGATAGTAGCTAGACCCAGAATCAGTTAGACTCTACCGGTTGTCTGACCCAGCTTAAACTCGTCGAGATATAGCTCTACCCAGCACAAGTTAGCCACAAACAATCTAAATAATCGTTCAACCAATTCCTAGATAACTTTAGATCCTGGATATTTCAGGAATGATCAAATTGACAGCAATCCTTGCGCAAACACAACCCCTAATCGCGAGAATATTGAAGTTACATTTCAATTTAATTGTAATCCCTATAATTTCGCTCTTCCCTTTTGCACAAACTTTGTATACAAACCCCCTTAAATGATGAAAAAGGGGTTAGAAAATTTTCATAGAACTTATACTATAAGCTCACACAACAAATACAAAGAACAGTGGACGTAGGCTTAAGAGTTTATCTCGCCGAACCACTTTAAAAATCTCTGTGCCATCTTCTTCTTTACATTCATTATTTGTTTATTGTTGATTATCCGTAATCATGCACACACTAGTTCCGATCCCACCAAAGTCGTTCAGATCACTCTAGTTGGTGCAGATTTCTGTATTAATATTTTGGCACTAGAAAGAGGGTCTCCGCCAACATCTCAAAAACTCCGGCAAACAACCCCAGCAATCTAACCACTCCAAGCTCACGGTGGTACATACAAGATCAAAAGCCACCACCAGAAACTATGACGACGTGGAAACCACCCATCAAGAGGTGCAACAAGACGCCACTGGACGTCGACCACCATTGGCCCCATCTCAGCATGCCATGAATAACCAGGGGACAGGAACATCAAACCCTGAGAATGGCTAGCTGGTGGAAATGATCAAAACTATGGTTGCACAAACAGTGCAACAAAACGTGGTTGAGTTGAGAAATCAACAACCAACCGCTCAGAATCTCGACCAGCCACGCTTCACCAATGCCACTCGAACAAGTATGAATTGAGTTGGTGGCTACTTTGGTTGTTCGGCACTAAGAGGCAACCGATACCCCCGACACTCCGCTCACGAGTGTGAGTCCAGCGGGCATGCTAACCTCGGGAGGCAGCCAGGGAAGCAACCACTGGGTGAAGGCGAAGGCAACGATCACCCCCGAGACGCTCGATGATATCCCCAGTGTCAGCGTGCCGGTCTTAACCCACACCCAAAACAAGCTTGATCCTTGCAAGCTCGCGAGACGAGTCATGTGCGCCAGCCTGGCAATGACTGACATTCCGGTCATAACTAACGTTGCGAGCAATGCACCAACAAACATGATAGCACTTATCAACCTAGCCATCGTGACTTAACTTCACACAGCAATGCGCACAATGGAGGGGCTTCACAAGCAACAGACTTGCAAACACACTTGCTCGAAGTAAGGCTGAATAGAGCCAACCAGTGCAACTGCAATGAAGACTTGGATCTAGTGTAGAAAATGCTCGACGATCTGAGGGCCCGCTAGAATAGTGCGGTTGAAGAAATAGTGAGTTCCCCCTTCACAGAGGAGGTTCGACAGGCCCCACTTCCATAGGTATTCAGGGCGCCAGATAGTAAGATCGACGAGAGAGGAGACCCTAGTGACCACTTCGACAATTTCAATGACTTGATGGAGCAGCACCAGGTCTGTGACCTAGCGAAATGCCACTACTTCATGGTCATATTGGTAAGAGATGCCAAGATGTGGTACAAAAGACTCAAGGCAAAATCCATCAGTTCTTGGCAACAATTCTCCTCGCTGTACTTGCAACAATTCTAGGTGAGGAGATAGTTCGCAATGTCACTCAGCCACTTGAGCAATATTCATCAGGAGAGATGAAACCTTGACCTCGTATTTAATGAGGTTCTAGAACGAGAAGCAAAGGTCGTGGATGCACCCGAAGAGTCAATCCGGACTTTGTTAATTGTTGGCATCAGGCCGAACACAGAGCTGTGGAAAGAGCTCCAAAGCGAAGACCACATAAGCCTGGCCAAGTTTTACCAAATGGCTGCAAAACACTAATGAGTGGAATGCTCGCTAACAACGTTGGCTAGAAGCTCGACGTGAGGAGCCCCAAACAGGCGACAAGATCACCCATCAAACAAGCATGGGGGCTAAGACCGCAATGATAGGGACTGCAATAAATCCCAAAAAAAGACAGAGAACAGATAACCATGGGGACAGGCAACCTTTCTCGTGGTATGCAGAATATACCCCCTTCACGCAAGACATAGCCCACATCTACGAAGTCTCCTGCAAGGCAAAAAGATTGCCCGCTCCAGAAAGAATGAAGGGGGCTCCAGGCAGAAGAGATTTAAAAATATTACCGATACCACCAAGACATTGGGCATAACACCAACGAGTACCAGGCTTTGAAAGATTCCATTGAAGACCTAATACAAAGGGGCCACCTAAAGGAATTTTTCAAAGAGGCATCGACTCATGAAGGTGCTAAGGAGCAAAATAATTAGGTCCAAAACCAGGTCCAACAAGCCTTGAAAAACACCAACAATGAGGTCCTGGTAGGCGCGCACGCGGGGGGGAGGGGGGGTGGGGAGGACATAGCGAAATAGCGAAAGGCGCACAGGGAACAATATGCTCATGAGGCCATAACAGATTCGGTCGCCTGAATAATGAGTTGTGAACAAAAGTCGTTGAAGCAGCCCAGACAAGAGAGTAAGGTGGTAGGGTTCACGATTGAAGAATGCAAAGAATCCCCTCGCCATAATCATGATGCGATCATAATCGCAGCGAGAATCGGCAATGCCAGAGTATTGAGGGTGATGGTCGATAATAGGAGTGCAGTGAACATCAGCTTTCTAAGGAATAAGGTTCACGGGGAGAGACCTGAGGGTGTGCCCTTTGCCGTTCTATGGATTTACCATGGACAGCCTAGTTCTCAAAGGGATGATCAACCTTACCGTGACTCTAGGGGCAGAGCCCTAGATCAGGACGGTGATGGGCGGATTCCTAGTGGTAGACTGCCCAACCACATACAATGTCATCCTCAGAAGATCGATCTTGGATGACTTGAGTGCAGTCACTTTAGTGCGCTACCAAGCAATGAGGTTTTTGACTCCTAAGGGAGTCACGGCGATCAGAAACTACAGAAAGAAATCTCAGGAATGTTATAACCGGGCCATACATGCAACACGAAAATAGTCGCTCCCGAGGACAATGGTTATCATCGAATCTGAGCCAAACCTCGGGCCTCTCAAGGATACCATTGATCCTCGCATCCATAAAGAAGAGCCTGTAGTAAGACCGATAGAAGAGCTGCGAGAAATATGTGTTAGCGAGGAAGATCCAACTCGTGTATTA